CAACAAACTACTGACTGCCCTTCCTTACCTCTGCAGTAAGTTGTCTTGTTCTCACATGCCCGAAGTAAAGTAGACATCCTTTTAGTGCGCACAGAGCTTCAGTGGAGTTCAATGTTACTTTTTTCTATGGATGTACGGAAGCTGAAAGGCACAAACGTTTTGTGCAAATTAACAAATCACAAAGTTAAGAATCTTAGTATTTTGTTCTTTTATAGTGTGTTACATTCTTCGGAAAATTGCGCTGCTGTAGGACCAAGTAAGTTTGAAATTTTGAAATAATTTGCTTTTTCCGATAATAATATATGATGTTCCTTCTGAAAAAATTCCAAGCCGAGCGAGGCACTTGTTTGAACCGAAATTTCGTAACTTGCTGAACTAAGTAGGCTTTTTTATATGTTTAATTTGTATTTTAATAAATTAAAACGGACTGATGAGTTTGCTATTACTGTCAGATCCGGAGCAAGATTTGCAACGATCGTGTATAATGATAGACACCTACAGGAAGAGGTAAGCTTAGTATATTGTTTGCTCAACTCCCCTCTCTCGTTAGGATGGCGCATTATTGAAAACGCTTGAGTTCAAATGCATGGCAGATGCAATTTTGTCATATAGTACAGTAGCAAATATATATTGCAAGCTACAGATATTAGAGAAACAAATAATACCCAAAGTTAGGTACTCTCTGCAAATGGGGCAGTAGCGGTACCCAAACTGAGTTGTTGTTACCTCTGTCTGCTTGCTTAATATGTAGTGTTCATTTTTTCGACAACGACTTTTCGCTGGTTCCTGTTTTGGTGGCCAACGAATTATTTATTCTCGAGAGAGTATCTATTCCTGCAGAACGATATGGAAGGTCGCCTATCCTCGCAAACGTTCAAGTTTGTTGCACAGCTCGGTATTTTACGGAGCGCCAGATATCGACAAAGACATAGTAGATGGAGAGGATGTCAATATATTCATCAGACGTCTTCGCCGAATCATTGCAATTGCTCTTAATGAATTCTAATGATGTTCGCTTGGTTAAACATAAAATTAATGAGATTGAAGCCATGCCACCTTTCAACCAAGTTGCAAGTGCTTCTTTTCTTCTATTCCAGGAGGCATGGCTAAGCAATAATGTTGATGACTCCGTACTGTCGCTTCTTGGCATTGACTCCTTCTGCTTGGATCGCTCATCAGAGAAAAATTTTTCTGGCGAAGGTGTCCTTAATTTCATTCGAAAAACAGGAGGTTGAATTTTCCTTCTCTTCTAATGGTGTCGACTAGTAATTTCTACGTTGCTGGAAAAGATTTCTACTTTCAAAAGATTATCTCATGCAGGAAAATATCTACATCGCACATGATGGCGGCGCTATGTCTTTGCGGAAGACTAACCATCACAATGCAAAAACTTTTGTACCTCTTGGCCTCGAAAGCATCGTTACTTTTAATACAAAGTATAATAGTGCTTTGGACTAAGTACTGAGTAATGATCCAACCACTTTTTCGTGCCATCGTTCAGCGCCTATCGGCAGGTCAGATAACTTCACCATTCGTATTCAGCCGATGTTCAATTTAGCATCCAAGGGTACTGTGAGTATATGGCGTTGTCCGACTCAAAAGGTAATCTACAGTCGAGATATGCAGGAAAAATGTCAGAATTTGCAACGATTCGCCTCAAGCTATAACGCCTGCGATTTCTGGCATCATTCGGGAAGAGCTTAATTGTGTGGTACCGAAAATTACCTCTGTTCTGTGCTTTCTGTTGGACGATTTTAATTTATGAAGTTAGAATTACTTCAGCAGCCTTTCAGCGGCTTTGCCGGTTGAAAGAAGGATCATATCGACGTGGCGATCATCAGCTCTGTACATCTCTGTCCTCCAAAATCAGCGCGGAAATCAAACGACTCAACAGACCATTGCTTTACTCAGAGCGATCGAAAGATAACTTATGGCTTAAAATTAAATCGTGTGCAACGGCAAATCCGTTGCAGGCTCTTCTCCTGTGGATCTGAGTGAATTTAACGAGTACGTTCTGCGCCATGAAGAGAAATATGAGCGATTTCTGAATTACCAACCCCATGCTCAGCAGCGGGCGTGTTCCCTCTGCACGTCCCAGCAGAAGAGGTTAGAAATTGTTTTAGCTGGATTTTTATCAGAAGTATCTTTCTATCCAGACAGAATGTGCCTGTTGATATTTAAATTGTGCTGAGCATTTTGTACGTTCTGGAAAACGTGTCTGATCTCTATTTACGCCAGTTACTGATTCCTGACGAGTGGCGCACAGCCTGCGTCATTCCACTGCCGATAGGGGCGCTAATTCAAAACGGTTTGAAAACTTTCGTCAAAATGCAATGACCTCAGTCCGCTTTAAATGCTTCGACCTGTTGTAACCAGCCATAGAACGTAAAGCTACTTTCTCTATTGACCTCTTTCAAGATCACTTTTAAAAGAAAAAGGGTGGCAAACGATGCAATTGCCTGTGTAACCCATGCACATGCAGTCGGCAAAGACCTCGATAAAGGGCAAAGAAATCAGCCATTCCACGTTCAATGACCTAAATTCGGCGTTCAGTCTAATTCCATGCGATAAATTGTTGTGCAAAATGAAAGGATCAGGTCAACCATTGAATTGTACGGTGGCTGACAAATTATTTTTTTCGCCGACGTCAGTTTATCACCATTGATGGGAGGAAATTCTGCCTCGTTGTGAACAATTTCGGTGCTCATCAGGGCTTTATCCTATCATCAACAATGTTCAACATTTATATCTACGACTGCACTCCTGACCCTACTACTTCAGTGCTTCAAGTGCGCTGTTGATAAAGTCGTAGTGGGCTGCCAAAAGTCGCCTATGGACATCTTAAGCGCATATGAACAACATGAAGAAGATTTGCCGAAGTCTTTCATCTGACGAGCTCAAGCTTAACCCTCATAAAGCAACTGATTGGATTTGCAGCTTGCACAGTACCAGGAATGAATAACTACTAGAGCTCCCATTCTGACCATTCACTCTCCTTGATCTATCCACTCTAAGACAGTGGCTGGTGTTGAAGATATAAAATACCTGAATGTCATCCTATCCACCCTCGTCTCTCGGCATGAATACGTGAATTCATTTGAGACTTTATTTGCCAATCATCGTCCTTCACCCGGAGATTGAGAAACCTAAATTTTGTTCCTCATGGGATTAAGAATTTTGTCTACGCATTTGCGTTGTCAGTATCTAATTAAGCCTCTGATCGTTTAGAGCACGATTATAAGATTTTAAGATGCTTGCACAAACTAGCCTCTAGACCCAGTGGTCTTTGACTGAAATGGTCTTTAATTACACCACAAAATTTGGATGAGCCACCATATCCGAGCAAACAACATTCATCTTCTGAACAATGAGCTTGCAGAATGTATTTCTCGTGCCTTCCACAATGCCGAGTTTAGCAAATTTGCACTCCACAACAGAGCAAATCAATCGCCCTAGCCTCTTCATTGATTTTCTGAGATTCTTGACCAGTTGTACAACTTTATCTCAGCATTATTTATGTTTATTAACCCTATTTCTGCTTTTTCATTACACATCAGTTGACTTCTTGCTCCATATTGCTTACATCCATATAGTGTTTCGGCTGCGTTTCAGTGATGTTTACTGTCTGTTCGATCAGTTATTTCTGTTTTTTCTCTTGTAATATGTGATATGTTAATTTTTTTATGCCAAAAAACGGCGCATACTGGAAATGTCATTCAAACAGTAAATTTCAATTCAATTATTACTTCGAATATGTGTGACATCACTTAGGTACATATACCTTCTATGCTTATACGCCTACAGATGTACCTAGCGATTTACAGTAATGATTGTGCGCCGCATGGATATTCTTGAAATTTATGTTCGATGTGCAGGATATGTCCTTGTGTATGAAGGAAATCTGCGTGATTATTTTAGTTCTAAAGAGACTTAAGACCTGTAATGACGTCAAAGAAAACTAACTCTATTGTATATCTGGTATGACATATTCACTGTAGTTGACGATTGCTACCCACTGTTCTTTTTTAACTGTCCTGCTTTAGTAGTACTCTTTAAGATGTTAATTAAAGCTTCACTTACAAATTGGAATGTTGGCCTCAACAAGGAAAATCGATGTCTGCTGAATGTCAGCTTCGTGATGAACTTATTTTCATTTCCAACGTCAGGTGGTTGATTGGTCCTTGCGTTGGACAAGCTTGCAAACAAATTAATGAGTTTTTTTGAGGATTGTCTGCAAATTTTTTATCGCTTTCAGTTTATCATTAGTTCATCCGTGTTGTTGTGTATCCGCGTCGTCAGACATGCAGTGCACACTGCTAGTGAGTCTGTTGTTTTGTCATCGTCATCTGAGACTAACGAGCATTAACAGCATAATAACCCAGTCTAATGGCCTGACCGTTTGAAATGATTTTTCAGCTTAATATTAGACAGCATTCTATGCTGTAACAGTGATCCTGTTCCTCTTTGCAAGCAGATGTTTCCGCGTTTTGTATTGTACTCCAATCCTCTAACGCGTTTTGGCAAGTTCAAGGTTCCTATGCGAAAAAAGTTTTGGAAATGTTTCTATTCTGTTTTTTGACGTCTTTATTAAACTAGACCATAGGACGTTTTCCGAGTTTATCTAATAGTTTTCTGAGAACGATAGTCATCAAGAACAGTGAAGTAAAGCTGATGATCAGTTTGTTATCATTCGCATACGGCCAGATAATTTTTACTGGCATTTTCTTCTGTTATTATTTTTGTCATTACTGTTTGTCAGGAACTTTCATATGGTGAAATATTTGCAATTCATTCCAACCTGGATGAGTCATAGTTTTTCTCAAGTTGGGTTTCCTCATTGCCAGTTCCATTTGGTGTTCACTTTTATTTAGTATCCTTATTTTTAAGTCGTAAATGACAACTATAACAATTAAGGGTTACGTACTCTGCTTTTCAGATGTTGCGCCACTATCCGAATATTTCGGGAATGCCTAGTTATAGCAGCTTTTTAATATCACGAGTAGATTGTCTTATATTAGCCGTTTTAAATGAATAATTTCAATGCCTGTTCCAGCTGTTGCTCCTCTACTGAGAATTTTTTTATTTATTTATGAATTCTCATAGTCTTATTTTTTCCGCATTAGGTTTTAATTTCTTTACGAGGAAATGAATCTTTTTAATCTAATTAAAAAGAAGTTTAGTATGAACTGCATTGCACAGACAGTGATTTCTTTGAAGTTGTTCGTTTTAAAGGAGTTCATAAGATAGCCGTTCACTGGATTATGTTGCTTTGTCGTCGTTGTCCTACAACCGCTTTCTGAAAATTTGCGATCTTCGGGCTCTAAATCTACTACCTTTAGTGTTGCGATAAATGCCATCAGTTGTTCTACA